TTATCTATCGAACAGGACTAATGATACAAAACTTGTAACGGAACGAGCAGCAAATTATTTGCTTTCTTAAAATCGTCGTTTATATTCTGTCTTTCCGCTTTGCTTTTGTTATCTTAGAACTGAGCCTAGAAGTAAACAAATATACTGAAAAATGCTCCGGTTTACATAGAAAAGTGTTTTCTTTTATTTAGAACAGAAGATATAACCCTAAGTTCTAGGGAAATAAATAACTGGCCAAAATTTTCCATTCTGATCTTGACTTAATCTTCAAAAAAAAATTAAGTACAGGAGATCCAACGCTAAAATATATAACTAAAGCTATTTTTAAGAGGTAACTTTTTATAGAATTTTTAATCAGTCTTAGGTATATTTATCCGCTACTTTTGTTGTGGACGTTTTACTTTTCTCGGCAATCAGTTGATATATTTGGGAAGTTCTGAAACCATGACACACACAGGCATTCCATAAGGAAAAATGCTTAAAGGCTCATTTCTTAGGTAAATGCTTTGAAGATATATCTTATTTTGAAGTTTTTGGTAAGCACGTAGAATACAATCATTATTTGTCGCCAATGAACTGAGGCCAGCGAAAATCGCAACGTGTTAATTACCATTTCGAGGAAGCTCTGAACCTCTTCGTAATCAAAATTCCAAAATAATTACAAACGAATGTGACGGAAGGAAATTTCTTTTAGTGTGCAAAAAATGGTACGTTTACTATTGCACCTGACAATTCCATTTAACTTTATTATTTACTGACCAGCATATCCGCACGTGAGCTTACGAAATGTCTTACTCCTGTGATCTCCGAATGGACCACATCAAGCGAAATGTGGTTGCCGTAGTCCAACTTAAATCAATAAATGCATAAACTAAAGAAACAACCAGCAATTCTCATGAAAGCGTGTTCGAAAACACACTCGAAATTTAGGCTGTTCCGTAAGACCCATACATTACATTGCACGTAATACGGAAGCATGTGTATCCGAAAATTTAAAAAAAGATTATTATCAAGCGTAATTTTCATTGTGCTGCTTTACGCATTCGGTGGTTTTGTATGAACAGGCTTCCCACACATGTAAAACTTAAGTTTACCCAGTGAGCCCGATTTCCACCTTTTTGGAATTTTTCCCTTTGCCAAAATGCTGGCAATTCTATAAAACTTTATATTCCTTCGTAAATCGCAATATGCCCTATTGTGAAGAATGACCATTACTTTATCGCTGTAACACTTTGGGGGCCGCAGCTTCGGCCGCGTTTGTGTAAGAGGGAGTTACTTGTAAAAATCCTTGGACTTCATGAATTAGACAACCTACTTTATGTAAACGACCGCTTTTGAAATGTTCTGCTGGCCTACTGCATTTTCTAATTACTATGTACCAATAGGAGGTTCAAAGGCGTTTGCCATATTTCCATTAAAAACCTGGCCTGACCTGCCGTAACACAAAACTCACCCTGACCCTTCTTATCTATCTATCTTCCCGGAATTTGGCAAAAAGCCACCTGTTATACGGGGAGGCTTATTCCTGTGTAGGTTTCACCTCTTATTACTCCTCATTTTTGCACCCATGCAAGTCGACTGTGCGTTCCCCATCGGAGACGCCGAAGAGCCTTCCCCTTTAGAGGGCAGTACACACGGAGATTGAGCTTTAGATCGACCACTTTAATTACAGAATAGTGTATGTTTACCAAACCAGGGATATTGGTATGTTACAAGTCGGGGTGCTTATTGGGAAGTTTAAATATCTAGTGCCTATTTATAAATGCTTGCGTGTTGTAGAACAAACTGATTTGGCATCGGGGATGCCATGGAATCACATTCCAACATTTTATGCAAAGAGGCCACGTTAAGCATGTTCAGACGTTGTAGCAGTTTACTTAGAACGCGGTAGTTACTACCATTGTATTGTGTGGTGCTGTTCTACCTTATACTCTATTAATGCATACGGTAGTTGACTGACTGAACTGGAATTTCCTGAAATTCCATTGTTACTATCCATTTCAGTCGCTTGGCTGGCATCAATGCTCAACGTATCAACAGTTAATTTATCTGCTTGGGTAAAGTGGTTTTTGGATCGACATTCCCATGAACGTCTTATGGGACCATCTTATGCAGACCGCTTTCTGTGAAAGCAGTGGTGCTCAGTAATTATCAGCAAGTTTTTTAATGGATAGTTTTGGAGGACCTATCAATTAAATTTTTCTGCTACCAAAATAATCCAGAAGGTTTTAAATTTCTTCATAAGCATATCGCATGCTCGATCATTATTTGTTTTTTAGGGAGTAAACAACACAATTATATGGATGAGTATACGTTTAATAGAGCAAGTGGGGTAGGGATTAGAGCTGAGGATACTCGAAAACAGCTGTCTGATTTTAATGTAAACTGCTCGAGATATAGTCATGTACATGTTAGTTTCAAGTTATCGTCGCTTACTGGTTTTTTGTAAAAACTTTGGAGCGTACTGTTTCAACTCGTCAAAGCCCTAGTTACCAGAGTGCGGCAAAAATCACATGAAAACTAGAGTTTCATCCGCACTGTCTCTTTCAATTACTTTGCAAAGTGGAACATGTAAACTCGTCAAGACCAAGTCAATAGTGAATGAGTGCCACCTCACGAACATGATCATGGAATCCATAGAGGGAATGATGGCTGTATATCACTCATATGTTCCCCTTTTTATCGTCTTTTTAAACCCGAGGCATCGCATTGGAATGGAGCAGGACAATTCCTTCACTATTTGTCATCATATTAATAATATATGCTTTGGCTTTATAAAGGCTTATGAAGGTATTAAATGCTTAATTAGCACGACCGTCAGTAAACTTGAGCTCCATGTCCTTCGAGGGATAACTAAGGAAAGGTGTGAACGCGGACGGCTACAATTTTCCAACCCTCGACGATAGGTCAACCGCCACGAACCATGAACCCACGGTACCAACCCCCTCCGCCGGGCTTGGTTTTCGCAGAACGATGAATTACATGGGTAGCTGACTTCAGCGGCATCTACCACACTCTCCCCGTCATACGCCGAAAATCGCTAGCACCTGCACTTTCAGGCAAATTAAACAGCCTCTTCACATGTGCAACACAAGTCCTGGTACCAAAGAATGTACCAGCCTTTCAAACTAAGTACTGATAGACTACTTTAGTGGGTGCTTCAGACAGGCTGTATTCACAAATCGACATTTAGCGTGACTCTCAATCCATAGAAGATCCCAAGTTACCCCATTATTTGGTAAATTCGCAGGCCACCAGTTCTAGCGTGTAATTACGCATTTAAGAGTACTAGAAGCATTAGAGTCGGTAAGCCGTTGCATCCCAATGCAGATAGGTTTCTCAAGGTTGACTGCATCTCCTCCTTCCCCTAAAACGCACTAGTCTACGGTCTGGCCCCTTAAGCCACCCGGTGTTGAAACTGGACGCTGTGAAGAGCGTGGCTTTAAGCCTATGTGCGGGCGTGCCACTGCATTGTGTGCGTATATAATGCCACGCTTCAGCAAACCATCACCCCTACGACCTGCTGTGCGCTGGCAATTTTCTTGGATCTGCTCCCCTGTCGGTGTATGCGTTTGCACTCCCACCGGGTTTATAGACCGTGTACATGGTTGCCAGGTTAATTGTATCTTCCCCCTCTGATCCAGGGGAATGAATACCGACTGTTGGCCCGTAGCGAAGTCGCCGGCAGCGTGATAACTGCGGTGGCTGTCACGCCCTCAACTGTGTAGTCGCACGGGTCCACTCGGCTAGTCGCTCCATGCTTATTTTACGAAACCAACCGCTCTGAGAGGGGTAGCACGCGTTTTGGCCACACCAGCCACCTGGGATCAGAGCAATACCGGCAACTAGGTGCTTGATACTTAGTTTGCAACTGTCCGACGCACCTAAAGATTAACTTTTGTCAGCTGCAAAGGAAATCTATTTCAAAAATCCAGCGCAAGCTAGATATCACTTCTTTCCAAAACTGTTTGACGAGATCTTGAGAATGCGTATTATAAAAGACTTCATTTTTGACAGCTTATCCTGATCAAAATAATTATTGGAGGTTCCTTTCGGTTTGCGACAGCAAATCTACTTTGTATATTCTTCTGCAAAGTGGACAATTAGTTGTTTGGGAGATAAAATCGTTTAAAATGATTCCAGAATAAAATAGTTGGTTTTTATTTATTGGAATACAGGTTAGAGTAGAAAGGCACAAGTAGAAATGTAAGATTAAAAAAGGGAAAATAACGCATTCTGCTCATTAACAGAGCCATTTATGCGCATTTGAACCAGGAACAGTCTCCGCTACAACAGTTGCGGTCGCGCCAGCAGGCCTGCCCTGCCATGAAGCATCGCACACACTTGCCATTAAGGAAACTGCTCAGCTCACAGAGAAGTTTGCCACAGCACCTATTAACGACTGTCCTGTCGCAGAACTCACCTTCCTTCCGACAGTTATCATCATCTGAAATAGAAATAGCATAAAGCTGTTAGACAACATTTTGACCATGGTTGCAGCATCACAGGAATTAGGTTTCCCATTCTGATATTGGTGAGCAAGACCAGCACCAGTTGACTAGGCTGTATTTAGTCTGTTTAGAGCTTAATCGGACAAGATAATGAGGTCGTTCAAAATACCTCGAATACCTTATACACACTCTGTTAATGATTGGGATATGAGGCATCCAAGTCAGCAAAAAGTGGAACAGTTTCCCGCTGTCATACAGGAACTGTATTTTGTCTTTCGTGTTAATAAACACGTTTGACCCAACTCAGGGGAACAAATGCACACATTCATAGTTATTTTTCTTGATGAAGTTAAAAAGGGTGGACGGAAAAACACAAACACAAGTCAGCATGCCATTGTCTACGAAGAAACTGACAGTTATTTTACAGAATAATCTGTCTTGCAACTACACCTAAGGCAACTGTTTCAATTTTACAGTCTACTCCGAAAGGTATGTACCGGGTTTGAAAATCTTTTTGCGTATTTTGATTCACGATTTAAGATGATACATGCATCTATTTTCATAGGCGTTCCAATTTCTCCTAGTAGCACTTGAGCACGGATCTTCACCAGTTCCAATTTTAAAAGGAAAATGCTCTTTCCGTTTGATTTTGAAAGCTAAGCTTCGAGTTTCGCGGATGATGTGCAATCAACAGTTTTGAATGACTACTGAAATATGAGAAGGACGAGAAGTAACATCTCCCTTTCTCGATCATATGTTTTCACCAGCACACCATATCTCAATCCAGAACAGTAGGGTGTGATCTTTGGATTCGGGTCTCCTGGTATTTGGGCCTTATACTCAAGTACCTGATCACTTTTTTTCAGGCTCGGGAGTGTTTAAAATTACACGGTGGTGGTGTCTTGGTAATTAAATAGGAAGAAGTAAATTCTTAACTCTGCCCAACTTCCCAGGTTGTCTCTCGTGTACTTTCAAGACGAATTCACTAAGTATGACTAACTAAATCTCCTTTATTTTAATCCCTCATAGAGGATGGGTCGCATTGGTACGCCCTGTTTCATTCTCGACCAGAACAGGCCCTACGCTATTTACAAGACATTTCACCAGTCGGTATAGTGTGATGACTACCTTTAAAGGATCCAGCGTTTAGGTTGTTGTATTCAACCGTTTACTAATTACTAAGGTAGATAAAATTATAAAACTTCAAAAAATAAACTTTTCAGCACATATGTTCGTGATGATGTCGACTTAGACTACCCAACGAGCTGTCAATGCGCATTTTATTATTGAAAGGTGTTTACATGTTTATAGTTAATTGAACAGTGGTCCTACATGAAGATCTTCCAATTTTATTGTAGGTGCGATAAAAGCTTCAGACATTTATGATACTTGCACTTGCCCTGTTTGTCTATTGTTTGCACCATAATCTTTCAATATTCTGCCTAACGAATTCATCAAAATGTTTAAATGTAACTTTGTCCACCTAGACGGCTTTTCGCATTGCTTTAATTCATGACACTTGCTAAATTAACACGTCACATCGATAAGGCAAACCAAAATCCAGTGCTGGAGGCGTCACCGAAGGCTCACGCTTTCCTGGTGAAACTACGAGATCAATCAATTGATCCGGTGCTCGACAAGTCTGCTTCCATATCCATGTAGATACCTGGAATGCGAACCTTTTCATTTATTCGGGAGTAAGGTTTTCCTGTATTAATTGCTTCTCACCGAACGTCGCTCATTTTCCGGTAGCCATTCATGCAGTACGATGGTATTTCAGAAAAATTCCGAAATTTTCGAAAGGATGACGATCGCTCACAAACCGGTCTTATTGGGCTTGTAATACTGATTATCGTACAGCCTATTCTTAATTCATTACAGTCATAAAAGAATGCCGGTGATTTGAAGAGCCGCTTTGTGACAACTTAAAATAATCCTCTTACTTAACAAAATGATTATTTATGTATTATGCATTTAATTCATTGATTTTGACTGCCTTTATAAATTCAAATATATTTTATAGAATACATTCGCAAAAATTATTCCTTCCTGTAATCATTTGGTCGAAATGTGTGCCATAATCAACTTTTATACTTAAAGGAGCTCTCTATTTTTAAATAATTTCTGAATTACTGAATAGTTCTGAAAGCTACCGACCGTTACAACTGAAATCAAGATTTCCAAAATGCGTGTTCTGTATATCCTGTATGAGGAAAAGTAAGTTTTCCCCTATTTTATGAAAAAGAGAACAAAGAGTCCTCATAAAACTTTGCAATAGATGTGGATCATATTGCATACGTTATATAAATAGTAAGAAATTGACGCATACAATATGTTATTAATGGACACTGCACAGTCGTAAAATATCTCATAATTTTAGCATTTTAAAGCCAAAATATACACTTCTTTCAAGTTTAACATTTAAAGAGGGCTTAATCTGCTACGAGACGAGTAAAGATAGAATAATTTTGTAATGTTTTCTGTAAAATATATTTGAAATGATAAAGGCAGTCAAAATCAATGCGTTAAATGCATGTTACTTAGTAGTCACTTTTAAAGAAGAAGCATCGTGTAAGCGGTCAGAGAGTAACTCATTAAAGAGCCAAAATCCTGTCGTGACTGAAATGACGTGAGATTAGGCTGCACGATAATAAATGTAACAAACCTAAGCAATGCCATTTTACGAATGTTTATGAATGTTTCGCAAATTTCGGAATTTTGCGTGAAATACTGGCCGACTGTAGGTTTTGCCGCTTACATCTGAGCTGCTTGTGTCCTCTACAGCAAAACACAGGGTTTTCTGGATTCTACTGCCCGAATGGCTACTTGTAGTTCTCACGTATATATAGCTCTACAAACAATATGCCAAAACATTTGCACAAATCAACAAAATACGTTATTATCATTGACAGTGAAGGTAAGAGTTGACCGACCCTTAAATGTTTTTGCATCAATCGAATGAAGCTCTGCTTGAAAATTTCTGTTGCTAATCTTTTGTATGTCCTTCTGCCTGTTTTATTTATACATCTATAACCTGTTCTCTATCCAATTAGGGGATGTAATTTAAGCACGTAGGTTGTAGTTATATTATAGGAGACTGTGTGGCCTCACAACCCTACAATGTTGCTTCAGCAGCCAACCAAATGCCATCAGTTTTGGAATGCGTCTTGAATGATTTTTATGTAGGGATTCACAGCATTCTATTGAATTACGAATAAATTATTTTTAATTTCTGTTCTCTAGTTTTACTAACTCTCAGAAATGCATTTTCCTAAAATTGTCTGCATATATGAATGTTTTACTTACTGGCGCTGGAATTGGGAGTGATGACCATCATGATTGCAACAACGGCCACGTAGAAGAACATTTTCACCGACCTGCTTCTGTAAAGGCCTCAGGCACATATTTATATGCCGATTCAAGCAATCTCAATCGCTGACCTCTCGCGCTGAAAACGCTCAGAAGACCACTTGCAACTCTACCCGCATGTGCTTTTGGTGCTACATGTGAGCCAGTTTAGCTCGGACTGCCGTTTAACTTGACCACAATTGACGGTCGTACGGGACACAGCTCAGTGGATAGTTTTTGAAACTACTTTACCGGACTTGGAAGGGGTAAACCGAAGTGGAGCATGCTTTATGAATGCAGTAGTTAGTCGCAACACTGTTATATTAGCTATCGAAGACTGCATCCCTGTTATCACCTCTATTTGAAATTTTCAGGACTGCAGTCCCAACTAACGCCGAGACTCATAAAGCGTTAAAACAAAGTTTATTATACAAATGAGTTTGACTTCGCCCGAAATTTTATACATAATGAAGAGCAGTTTAAATGACCTGCATGCATGTGTTATTCAGATGTCTCGATGTGTGTCCAAATACTGCCCTATAAAATCCTATTTGTTTGCATCCAATCCTTGTAAGTACATTCAAAGGTGGCAGATAGCGGCTTAAACTGTTCCATTACGTGTTTGTGCTAAACGCCCGAAATAATACCGTTTCAGCACTTTATGACCGCCCAGTAAGTCTTCGGGTCAGTATTAAAAAAGAAAAGCACGTTGACCTCTGTCTTTGTTCGGCGAATCCAAATCGGTGAATACTGACGAAATTAACGGTCGAGTGCCAATATATCCCGACCTAAACCGGCAAGACAACGAGCTCGCGGCTCAATGGTTAGGGTGCTGGACTCGCATCAGAAGGTCCCGAGTTCGAGGCTCGGGTGGTGCATCCGATGAGTCTGGGTATGACTGGCTGATGACGCCTGATGAACCAGAAATGGTCATTCCCGTCTCCCTTGTCTTTGCCGATAATTCTGTTTGCATGGTAAGTTGTTCTTCATAGCCACCTCAGTTACCGTTGGCCTATAGTAAAGAAAACACTAATAGGTCGAGAATTTGGTAAAACCAAGTTGGCCAGTGTCATTCACATTGAACTACTATTGTCCGGCGAGCTTTGACTAATAAGATATAAAAAACTTCAATCATATATACGCTGTCACCAGAAAAGGTATTTCGAAAGATTCAGGTTTATCTCGCAAGAAAGAGCAGTCCATGCATCTCAAATTTAGAGACCTGGGTTAGCTGAATCGTAGATCATATGAAGGCATACACTACATTCTCTCAGTTGTGCTGAGGGGCAAAAATATCAATCTGTATTTCGGGTTCAGTTGCGCCAGCAAGTCCATACCACAGCACCTGGTGGAGGGTGTTAGCTGATGGTGTTGTCATTAACTTCATCAGGAACGGACTTCTCCTGCTGATGATCGGCAGTGACTCGGATTAATATTGCTGCCTCTGAGAAGAAGAAGACTCGATTGCTGGGACAATACGTTTATTCGCCTGACGTTTCGACAACCATCGCGGACTCATCATCAGAGACATGAGTAAGAAACAGTAGCAGAAATGGGTAATGCATGCACAGAAGTTTGCAGTATTTATTATTTATTTATTATTTCTTATTTCACCTATGGGTCCCAATCGCGAATTCATGCAATTCCTGGCCCACGCTGTGTTAAATGAAAATGCTATAATATTTGGCACTTTGTGCTGACAAACAATTTGAGATATTAGAAGTAGAATGTCATCTCAACTCAACTATTACTGACGAATGAAATTGTGAAGTTATTCTTTGTTAGATGCGATTCTTTACAGAAGCTATGTTTAGATATATATGCATTAAAAGTGCTTTAAGTATATATCTGCATAGATAATAGGCCGAGAAGAACTCAATGCACGGATGGCGCCAGATACAATTTTAACACTGTTAATTGAAGTACTGTGTACCACCTAGCTTCCCACTTGCTGTCGTAAATAATAAGGTTGCACTTATTATTGACAAGTCAAGATGATATATTTTTGTAACATAGTTCAACCTTACATTATGCCGTGGTTTAGAAAACTATAAATCAGAAGGAAAACAGATTCCAAGTACATTATGTTTTTTTAATGCTTTGCACGCCAGTGATTGGTAAGTTTCTCAGATAAAACCAAACATCATTGCATGTTTAAGTGTTTTATATTTACGCATCAGTATTTCAAAATTGCCACAGTAAAGTAGGTTTTTATAATGTCTTGATCATGACTTTGAAAATAATTCATTCAAAAGGTTATTATTGCACATATTAACACTACTTGCGTACAGTTGGGCAAACCGCAAGGTATACACTAAAGGAAAAACGTTGATGATACATTTTTCATCATCAGAAAGACTGAGTTAGACCTCATCCAAAAGAAACTAAATTCCACATTCCCAGGAATTTAATTTACATTCGAAACGGAAGTTGACGGACAACTCCCATTCCTAGATTTCCTTGCACATCGAAATACTGATGAATCACTCCGTACATTTGTTTACCCTACAGGAGCATACTCCGAAACAATCCTACATTTTGGGAGCGATCACTCAGTCTCTCACTAAAGAAGTTCTATCTACAGCCTCCTTAGTCGAGCTAAAACGCACTGCTCTGATGACGAAGGCTACCAGGAAGAAATGAAATACCTTTTTCAATTATTCTCCAAAAATGGATATCCACGAAATTTCGTGCTTCAGTGGATAAAACGATGAGAATCCAAAGGAAAAAAGGCATTTCCTCAATCATTTCATTGAACTACATGATAATCCTTAAGGCGAGCTTAACCATATATAAGTACCAGAAAAGTAAGTTAAATGCACCAAGTTACAGTTTACAGTTTTGGTTATGACCCAACTTACAGGAACTGTGAAACTGCATTCAGTGGAGTGATAGCACTTGAAAGGATCCGCAACCACGCAGAAAGTCAGTTCACCGCTTCATGTTATACCCTGTTGGGCATGGTTTAGCTAAACCCATACGCGTGAAGCCAGTCCTGACAAATTTTAGGAAAGTTTGACGAATTGTCATAAAGTAGCGACCCAATTGCATGTAATGCTTAAACTGAAAACGTGTTATCTAAATTGAAAATAAGATAGGACAGTTGCACTCGACAAGGACAGACAGTTTTTTCAGTATTAATTGGTATATTCAAGACCATTTCAATCTTAAATGATATTTCGAAGATGTAGGAAAACCTATAGTTATAAAAGAACAATGTACTTGTTATTTGTACTTTTATTCGATTTATTTATGGTTATAAAATAGACAGCTAAGCGCATGATGGAGATCACTAGATTATTCTGTATAAAGCAAACCATGCTCAATGACCATTCCATATTATTGCAAAAATAACAAAGAGTTTCATATAGACCACACTTAAAATGCTGCTCATGTGAACTTGCTCTGCCATTTGCTTCTCTGTGTTGGCGCTTAAACAATAAAACTTTCGATGCATCCATACGGTTGGGTATCTACAATTCAGTTTAGTAAATATCTTTATTAGTATGTAATACAAACTGTTATTGTGAAGACTGCAAATACGAACTCATTACTTTCTGCGAAAATTCTCATTTAATGATTGAAAAGTCGCTTTAGCTGATATCGATATCGATGACTTTGTTCAAATGTTTAACACGGCCTACACAGTTCCATAGTTAATTGTTAAAATGGAGGTCAACAACGAAATCGCACTCCCAGGCGTCCTGTTGCACATACAAGTGGATGGTTCGATACAACGCAGGCTATTCAGAAAGAAAACCTTGTCGGGGCAATACATTAATTTTCATAGTTTGTTCCATTCAATCTCGAAAGACACCTAGTCCAGAGATTGGCAGCCAGAGTACGACGCATCTGCTTTCTTGAAATAATCGAAGTAGAGCTGCAGCAGCTACAGAACACAAACCGAGAAAATAGTTATCTAGAAGGGTTCATCCTCCGGAACATCAAGGAGCATGTCACAAAGTCTGCCGTTGCAACGGCAGAAACGAAATACGCATTCGTAAGACTGCCTTTTCTAGGAGACGCAGAAAAACGAACTAGTAAGACGATGTCTCAAGACAGCCATCACGATGGCTTTCCCGGCGGCGAACTTACGCGTATTCTTCACAAAATCTTCCCTTCTACAGATGGGAGGTAAAGCCCGACTACCGTTAAAGGCCACATCCATATACATTTATTCCTGAACCCGCTCCTGTGGAGCGGGATATATTGGCCGAAAAACGAGACTCCTGCAGAAGAGGGTACGCGAACACGTACCAGTACGGCTAAGCAAAAGAGAAAATATATCGAGTTCAAGTTCAATACCCGCAAATCTAATCGATCGAACCACCCAGTCGACGCGAGAGAGGCCTTTCAGGTCATATATCAGACGCCACCACACTACTGTTAAGGTCTGAGCAAACAGGCAGCCGAGGCAATGGCAATCCGTTAAGCAAAACGCGTTTTCCGCAGTCAGAAGACGCTGGTACATGCAGTTTGCCTCCCTTGGCCGGACTAACCACCCCCCCCACTCCGCCACCAAGGGAACCATATGAGCTTTATACAGAACTGGTTGCTTCATTCCCAATGTCAATGTACTGGCCTGACGATGAATGGCTGAAAACACTTGTTTGCCAAAACGACTTTTCAGTCGTCGCTTTCTGACTTGAAATAATATGCATTGATACCAGAACGTCGATGGCGCCACTGCTTTGAGTACCGTAAACATCACAAAATGTAGGGACATCGCCTCGATGTGCAGAAATCTTCATAATAAATTAAAGTCGAATTCTTGCAATACTAGTCTTCCAAAGCACATGTTTCAGCCTGACAACAAGCAGCAGCATGCGGGTAATAACCTGAATCGAAATGCAGTTCCACCGGTGCAGGTTAGAGTTTTGTACGGGTCATATTCTGGTGGCTGCATTTGGTCGCGGACAAACGCCTGTAGACAGCGGGTATGGTGACACAAATTGGACGCCATATCACCAAAATATAAGAAGCTTAATTAAACGTTATTAATCTTGAACTTAATTATTC